TCTCATGTATGAGCTGCACTGCCACACAGATCTGTAATTATAAAACTGTCTTGAGTGATCTACTAAAATGTGTGTGTGTGTGTGTGTGTGTGTGTGTGTGTGTGTGTGTGTGTGTGTGTGTGTGTGTGTTTGTGTGTGTTTGCAATCCTTTTAGGTTGCATATGCAGGCACATAACAGAAATAAAAAAAAGAAATTATATGAGTAAAGACAAGGAAATTATAATGGAGAAAAACTTCTCAGGGGTAATGAGTAAAATGTCCAGAGATTAATTTTAAATAAGGGAAGAGGTTGTTTGGTTACACTGATGCAAAATCCCACTTGCCTCTCGTCAGTAAATGTGGATATGGGGGTGGTCTGTTCATCACCTTCCCTGATGAATCCTGATTGGCCAGTTCAGTTCTTGGTCACCCTGCAGAGATTTGAGTGCCGTTAATTCCGGTTTATTGTTTATTTATTCAGGATATGTGTCACTTATTATAAAAGGAAAGAAAAGAGTCAGGTCCACAATTGAAATGGACATCTAAATATAAAATATTTACTAAATCCTCACCCTCCCTCAGCCATCTCTCAGCACAAGTCTGTTCTTACAAAATTCCAGTGGATGTAAGCAGATTACTAACCTCTAGATTATCACATTTTATTAATTTTTCCCTTTGAAACACTGCAGATCATAAGATAAAATGGTCAAAAGAATCACACAGCTGATGATCTGACTGTTTTTAATACAAGAAATATACTATGAACTCCATTTGGTTCAGTGCCCACAGGGGTGAGCCATAGACCAAGCCGCGCTAATGCCTATATAGGCATTGTCTGCATAGGTTGGCATGCAGACAAGAAATGCTCTCTTCTTTCACTGAAAACTGACCACTGGAGTACATCCCGCCCGTGAGAGGGTAAATGAGAGCGACCGAGTAATAAAAAATAGAGAGAGAGAGAGTGGGAACATAGAGCGAGGGAGACAGACACAGAATCTGCACATCCTCACAACCAGCACACCTTTACCGTGCACAACTGGACTAAAGACTGAACTGAGAAACTAAAAAAGGTGAGTACAGCAAACTGTGCATAAATTCAGTGAGAATTTAAAGTCTGTGATGAAAGCGGACAGAAAGATACAATAATGGTTCTTAGGATTCTTAATAAGAACCATTTTCCTGGCTATAAGATTTTTTTTAAAGATTAAAGGTTCTTGATGTTTTATTATAGAATAATTTCGTGTTCTTTAAAAAGCATCAGTACATATTGTAGATGATTTTCTAAAGAACTATTGAATGAGAATTTATTGGTGCAACTTAAAGGAATAGTTCATTTACTGACCCTCATGTCATTCCAAACCTGTATGACTTTCTATCTTCTATGGAACATAAAAGAAAATGTCACAGTGTTTGTTTTGTTTTTTAAAATAATGGACGCTAATAGTCACCAGAACTGTTTGATTTCCACCATTCATTAAAATATCTTCTTGTTTTGAAGAAGAAAGTCATACAGATTTGGAAATAAATTAAGGTGAGAAAATGATGACAGATTTTTTATTTTAGAGTGAACTGTCCCTTTAAAAAATTATTCTATGACATCAGGCTGTAACCTTTTTGGGTCTTATTGGAGCCTTTATTTTTTTAAGAGTGTAGGACAAGATAAGGAAAATAGAAAGACCTGTGCATGTATTCAGGCTGGCTGAGCTGATATATTACAGCAACCTGCATGTAAATGGCAAGCTGGAGTGAATGTAAGTCATGTGATGACAAATGAGGTCATGAGGCACGTATGAAGTCATTTCATTTTTCGCTCTCATGTATGAGCTGCACTGCCACACAGATCTGTAATTATAAAACTGTCTTGAGTGATCTACTAAAATGGATGGAAAGGAAACAATTACAAGACTGGGCCGGATGTGAAGGTGTTCTCAAAAATGGAAAGAGGACAGATGAAGGTAACATGAATTAAAGAGAACCTGAAAGTTGTGGCAGAGGAGGGAGAAAAGGAAGGAGGCATGTTGATAATCTGTCAAGTGGATTGTGATGGGAACGAAGGATGGAGGAAATAGCTATTCATGGGCTGAGACGATTGCTGGCGGTCATCTGATTCTCTGCCATAAACCATCTCGGGCTCTATCTCGGTTCGATTCAGACATAAGTTACTGCCTCAGACAACATGCTGGTCTAAGCTCTTCTGCTGGATTTCAGTAGTTCACCAGTCAGAGCCTGATGTCTGCAGGTCTAAAGGGGAGGATGCCAGGCCATTCCTTCATCTAGGGCGCATCTGGTGCCTCTCAGATCTGAATGCTACTATCCTGTCAAATAAGCTAGCAAAGGTTGGGAGCTTCTTAATAAACAGGCCTCGCAAAAACAACAGCATTGGTGTAGGTTTCTAAGCTGTGGAGGCAACATTTGAGAAAGTTTTCCATTTCAGAAACCGTCTGATTTGCACCAGAAGAAAGACATTAATCCAAGAAGGAAGCAAGGCTTCCCTGGAGCCAGAGGTTATATAATTGAGCTTACTGAGGCGTCACCTGTGCTGTCAAACATTCCTTTATCCGTCGGTTTGAATCCAGCACCTCTGTTTACAATGTTGTGTGGGTTTAAAGCCTGAGGACGATGTGAAGAGTCGGCTTCAATTATGGAGAGCCGGTCAATCCGTAGGGATATGATTAAAGCAGGTTCACTGTCCATCTCCGGCAGCATTCCATCTGATAAAATAATATAAATGGAAGACTGCTGAACAAAAAGCAATAAGACATGGATGGACACAAAAAAAACAACTGCTGTCAAATTGATATGTTACTTGAGTTGTAAATAAATGTAGCCTGAGAAGTGCTAAATAATGAAGCCATAACCAGACCTGGATGGAATTTTAATATTTAATATCAGATTTTTTTTTTTTACATTGTCTGCACTCATTTGCAGCACAAATGTCAGCATTCCAAGAAACAAATTTAGAGGTGTAAGGCTATAGTAGGCAAAAAACAGCATGTGAAATTGAAGTCTCTGAATTCACAGTATTCATAAAACAGTGGCTAAAATGATGACCTACTGATGACCTACTACTTCAGTTGAGATTTTGAATTGTGCATCCAATGGCCACTTTATTATCTCATGAGGCCACGAAAGAGGACAGCATAGCGACGCAACGCACACTGGTAGGTCATATGACAATAACATGACTAATGTAATAAATGCAATTTGGGGAAGTCCTAATGGTTAGAGAGTTGGACTCGTAACCCAAAGGTTGCGGGTTCGAGTCTCGTACCGGCAGGGATTGTAGGTGGGGGGAGTGAATGCTCTCTTCCACCTTCAATACCATGACTGAGGTGCCCTTGAGCAAGGCACCGAACCCCCAAGTGCCGCAGCAAAAAAATGGCTCTGTCTGTGTGTGTGTGTGTGTGTGTGTGTGTGTGTGTGTGCGCACTTTGGATGGGATAAATGCAGAGCACTAATTTATGGGTCACCAAGTATGGGTCACCATACTTGGCCACATGTCACGTCACTAAATCGCTAAAAATCCAGATTACATTCAGACTATATAGATATATTATATATCCTCATTTGTAAGTCGCTTTGGATAAAAGCATCTACTAAATGTCAATGTAAATATTTTAACAGTCACGAAGCAAATACTTATTCAAAAGCCCACACGTTGCACTGGCCAATATGGAAGTTGTCTTGGACTGATTCTGACACCTAGTTTGTGGATGTAGCATTGCTGGAAAGCATTAAGCATTACGTTTTCAGCTAATGATTCGAAATGACAATCCATTTTTGACTGGGTATAAATAGTACAGTAGACAGCCTACTGCTAAACACTCTATCCTGAGAAATCCTAAAAGAACATACTGATAAACATGATGAAAAGATGGGGAGAAAACAGCATGACAAGAGATAGAGATAGAAAGGAGAATTGGGGAAATAAAATGTCATATATCATCTCACAGAAACTTCAAAAGTAGCAGGTGTGTCAAAAATGATAGGGACACAGGAAACAAAAGAAATGAAAGACAACGATGCAAAATGGGATGTAAATTTGCTACAAGGAACAAACAGCATTGTGATTGAAACTAAAAAGGGGGCAGTTGCGTGAGAGGAAAAGATAGAGATTAGAAGAATTCAGCATGTCACAAGCCACATGAGATTGTCAATGACACTGATTTATAGGGAGCCGAGCAATGAAGAGATTCATCTATAAAACTACAGGTGCCATCAGAGGCATGAGATACAGCTGTGCACATGTACATAAGAGAGAGAGAGAGAGGGGGAGAGAGAGACATTAGGAGGTTGGGGGAATGGGGAGGCAGAGAGGGGTTATTCTCTGAGCTAGTCAAGTTTAAGTCACAGGAGACCCATGAAAAAAGGAGACAAAGAAAAGGATTGAGAACAACCTGGATACGTCTTGCTGGAACACTAAGAGAGAAAAAGAGACCAAGAAGAAGAGTGAAGGGTACAGCCACAATGATCTGCATCTCAGATCTCCACAGGTAACTGCTGTCATTGTGATGTTCATGCGGCATGACAGAGACGGGGACAGCTGATGGATGGAGGGAGGAGGTGGAGGAGGAGAGGAATAATTGAAGAATGGGAAAATGGAAATGAGAAAGAATATGTAGTGGGAATGATGAGACGGGTGACGTGCCTACAAGAAGATGGAACACTGTTTACATTCTGGAGAATATATGTGATAGATTTTGTAACGATAATTCTGGCAGTTAATATGTGATTTTAAATTACTGCAATAGTGAGGGCTTGTGAAAAAGCTGGAAAAAATATATATATATTTAAATATATTCATGTTAAATTACTGACACGTGATACTCTCAAGACTTGTACACTGTCACACATCAGGGGGCAAAATGTCTGATTTATGTGACTAATTTAGAAATAGAAGTGCACTGACATTTTGAAAAATTGCTCTAATCTAAAAGAATCCATTGAGAAAAAGAGAGGAGGAGAGAGAGACTTAGAATAAAAGAAAAAGAAAGAAAGAGAGAAAGAGAAATGGTTGGTGGGGGCTGATCTGTGGTAAAATGGTCCAGTGCCTTTCATTACGGACTACTTCTTGTTCAGGTCCCATGACAATAACTGCAGTGGCAATTGCTGGTATGTCTTGAGGCAAGGCAATCAGCATCATAAGATTAAAGTGAAGAGAAAGAGTGACTGGGAAGTTGTGCATTTAATAAAATGGTACATTAATGAAAATCTGTTGGTGGTGCAGTTGCATGCGTGTGGGCAGAGAGGACTGCTGCCATCTTGTGGTAAAGTTCTGGGACATTAAAGTTTGCATGGTTTATGGGTATTTAGGAGGGTCAACAGGACCAGTCCCCCAGGACCTTCAGCTGAGAGACACCTGAAAAAAAATTCTAATGGAAAATTAATATTCATTGAGAAGCAGTGCTTAAATGTTCTCAATTAACAAATTATAACTGCATACAAAAGTGTATTAATAGAATTACCAAGTGTATTAATACTGCAAAAAGATATTGCAGACAGGGTTCCCACAATCACTGAAAATCTGAAAATGTCATGGGATTTTAAAATCGTGTTTACCAGAACAGGAAAAGTCATGGAAATTTCTATTCACAATTGCTATTCACAATCAAATCAGTCATTTAAAGGGATAGTTCACCCAAAAAATTAATATTCTGTCATTATTTACTCACCCTCAAATTGTTCTAACCCAGTTTGACTTTCTGTCTTCTGTTGAATATAAAAGAAGATATTTTGGGGGCAAACAGTTTATGGGGGGCTCGAGCCCCTGCCCCTTTAATCATGGACCCTAAAGTGCCCTTTAGGTTAGAGCTGTAGTCAAGTCCAGCTTTGTCGAGTCCAAGACAAGTCCAAGACCAGGACTAGTCGAGACCGAGTCAAGACCGAGTCCAAAGAGGTTTGAGTCCAAGTCAAGTCCAAGTCCAAAAGTTTCGAGTCCAAGTCAAGACCGAGTCCAAATGAGAACATTTGTGGAGTCCAATGACCAAGTCCGAGACAAGTCCGAGTGCAAACACCAACGAGTCCGAGACAAGTCCGAGACCATAGAAAAATGTCTTGAGTCTGGACTACAGCCCTACTTTAGGTATTCTAGCCAGGGGGAAACACCCCACCCAACCCATGTAAGACAGTTGAGACCAGCAACTGTAACCAACCAACAATCTACTTTTATGTTCAACAGAAAAAGAAAAAAAAATCAAACAGGTTTGGAATAACTTGAGGGTGAGTAAATGATGACAGAATTTTCATTTTTGGGTCAACTCTCCCTTTAAATAAACTAGACAAGAAGCTAAAACTGCAGTCCTTTGCCAGGCATAATTTTTATATAAAATCTCAATTGTAAGAAATAAAGCCAGAAGTCTAAGACATTTCAAGAGCCAAACATGGAATACAAAGGCGCAATCAAAAGATCTTATTCTCTAATTTGTTTTTGTGTTTTTTTTAACGGTTAAATTACATTTTATTAATCAGAAAGCATGTCTAATTAATTAAAATCATGAAACTTAAACAATTTAACATCAATTTATTAAAAGTTTTACAAAAATTACATGTTTAGGGCCCGATGAAATGTTTTATTTTTTCCAACCTTATGTTTTTTTGTTACCAAATTCTGATTTAGCATTTCTAATTATTTGAAAGCATAAAAACAAGTTTCATTTATTCTTACAATAGCCTTGTGATTTTTTGCTCTGAAATTCTGTGTGTATTACATTTTTAAGGCATAACATATTCATTTAATCTATCTTTTGAGTAATGAAAATTAAACACATTTTATTTTTGGGAAAATAAAAGTCATTTAATACTACAATTAAAACATTGAAGAAATATTGTATGATTATTCATTAAAAATGATGTTTTTTTTATTATTTTTTATTATTGTGTTGTGTATTTAAATTGGTCTGATTATCAAATGAAGGCATAAAACATTAATTTATTTTTTAATAATGAAAATTAAACTTTTTTTGCAAACAAAAGGGGATTTACTATTAAATCATGGATGAATTATTGTGTGATTATTCCTTAAAATGTGACGTTTTAATAATTTACGTAGTAGCATAGTATTACGTACATTCTACTCAACAATAGTCATATATTTCTGCCACAATGCCTTCAAGTTAAACCGAACTTTTATTTTGATGGGTTGCCGTGAATACCTTTACATTTCTGTGTGTATATGATATGAAGATAGTTTTACTATCCCTAAACGGTCAAATGCTCATGAAGTGACTCTCAGCGCAGTTCTGGAGATGTTGTTCATGTATTCATGTATTTATGTATTATTTAGTGAGACGGCAGACTGAAATCGCAGCAAGCATCAGTACAAGTGGCAAACAAAACCGCACGTCTGCGCCATTTCATTAACACAGAGACACGAATAATTCATATTCAAATAGTCGTTTTGCGGCTTAATATAATATCGCCCCCCTAATATAATGGCAGGAGAAACACTGAACAGTGTGTGGGATGACAAGGTTAGGACCATCAGCAACTGGTGCCCAGGGTGTCGAAGGGCCATGATGCCTATTACATACATTCTACTCAACAATAGTCATATATTTCTGCCACAATGCCTTCAAGTTAAACCGAACTTTTATTTTGATGGGTTGCCGTGAATACCTTTACATTTCTGTGTGTATATGATATGAAGATAGTTTTACTATCCCTAAACGGTCAAATGCTCATGAAGTGACTCTCAGCGCAGTTCTGGAGATGTTGTTCATGTATTCATGTATTTATGTATTATTTAGTGAGACGGCAGACTGAAATCGCAGCAAGCATCAGTACAACAAAACCGCACGTCTGCGCCATTTCATTAACACAGAGACACGAATAATTCATATTCAAATAGTCGTTTTGCGGCTTAATATAATATCGCCCCCCTAATATAATGGCAGGAGAAACACTGAACAGTGTGTGGGATGACAAGGTTAGGACCATCAGCAGCTGGTGCCCAGGGTGTCGAAGGGCCATGATCCGTACATGATGGGGAAAATTTTAACATATTTTTCTTAAATTCTCTTCACAGCCACTGCTCATCTGTCTCACATTATCACAGAATGCTGCTCTATCTTCTGTTCTGGATGAGTCTATTTCTGTTGATTACAAACGGGTGAGAGATAAACATCTGACGCACTGAGACTAAGAATCACCAGACATCCACACTATTAACATTTCTCCCTGTCTCCCAGTGAAAGAGGATTTTATGGGAATCATTATGGCGAGCGGAATGATTCACAACTGCAGCCCACCATACAGAAGCTGATGAAAGGCTACAATCGATACCTAAGGCCAAACTTTAACCGTGAGGGCTACCTGAAGCTAATTAAATATAGATGGAGAATTTAAAAAAAACATATAGTTATTTAAATAATTAAAACCCAATAATAAGAACACATTCTTTGTTTCCACAGAGGGGCCTGTTGAAATTGGAATGAGTCTGGATATTGCCAGTATTGATGCCATCTCTGAGATTAACATGGTATTATTTACATTTATAAACTTACTCTGATATGAGGCTTCAGGCAACAGATTAACGGGATTCTGATCAATTCTGTTCATATACCTTTAGGACTACACAACCACCATCTTCCTAAGACAACGATGGCGAGATTCCCGCCTCATATTCCCTGGAAATGAAAGTCTTAGTCTGGACGGACGGCTGGTTTCTTTGCTGTGGATCCCTGATACGTTCATCCCTGATTCTAAGCGTTCTTTCCTCCATGATGTAACTGTGGAGAACCGTCTGATCCGCATCTTCAGCAATGGCACTGTGCTCTACGCTCTTCGGTAAACACTGAATTTACAACTTCTTACCAAAGACTGAACAGCTGCTCCAGGCAGATGTATGTGCATCTGGGGAACATTCCCACTGAAATGGTTCAATCAATATTCCTCCCTTTCTCCACAGCATAACAGCAACCATCGCCTGCATCATGGACCTCACCAAGTATCCTATGGATAGACAAGAGTGTACTTTGCAATTAGAAAGCTGTAAGCGTTTTCACTCTCAAACTGGTTTTTCCTTATTTTATTTTACTGGTTATTCAAGAGCAGCCTGTTCAAACCCTTAAATCTGTATGTGTGTGCATACATGTTCAGGGGGCTATAATTTACAGGATGTAGTGTTTTACTGGACCCGAGGGAATGACTCAGTGAAGGGGTTAGATACACTGCGTCTGGCCCAGTACAGTGTGGAGAGCTACTACACAACCGTATCTGAAGCTGCGTATGAAACAGGTAAAAACATCTAATTTTATTGTGAATATCTTGGCCACTTTTAGTTTATTTTACTAAAAAGTACCAGTCAGTCTTTCAGTCACATTCTACATTTATATTTACGCATTTGGCAGACGCCGTCCTTCTAAGCGGCTTACACCGCAATCATGGTTTACAAAATCCTAAAAAAGAATTTGGACACTTAAGCCAGACTTAAAGATGTATGAATGTCACTCCGTTTGATAACAAAAGATCATCCAAGTGGCATTTCAAAGAAAATAGCACAAGCACCACAAGCATAACTATTCCACAAAAAGAGGTTTTAGGTTTAGAATGATAATCCAAACAATTGCATAGCATATTTGTCTGCAGATGCCACTTGGTTTGATCATCTGTTTATTAATTTTTTTAATGGACTACAATTCATACTACTTTTTGGTCCCATTGTACATTTAATCATTACATGTATTTCCTAGTAATAAAACTTTGGTGTTGCTAGTGCTGCTAGTGCTGCTAGAAACTGCTGTCTAAAATTTTTTTTTTAAATCAGTTAAATTTACAGTTAAAAAAAGCACCATAAATAATACACTGACAATCTATCAGCTATTACAGGATGGCATGTTGGTGCCTGTATATTTTATCTCATAATCACACATTTTTAAGTGATACTACAACTACCAATATTAGCATTTTACATTATAATGTACCGAAAACCACGATAATACAGGTATTAAAACAGAAAGCAACCGCAGGGACTTCTGGGAATGTATTTTTATATTTTTTTTCACACACTCACACACAGATATATATATATATATATATATATATATATGGTTTTTACTTGGAAATTTTTTTTTATTTTATATATAATGCAATATTAAACCATTTACAACCATTTCCATTGTATATGATAAAATATCTTACAGTTAATCAATGAACTATTTTTAATGTAGCATTTTTAGTACTTTTTGTGAAAATTGCACACATTTTTTTTCTTTTTTACAGTGAATAACCTGCAATATTCTGGATCTGTTGCAGGTTTTTACCCGAAGCTAGTGCTGCACTTCTCTTTACGTAGAAATGTGCTGTTCTTCATTCTGGAGACATATGTGCCCTCAACACTGCTGGTGGTTCTGTCATGGGTGTCTTTTTGGATCAGTCAATCCTCCGTTCCAGCTCGTACCTGCATCGGTCAGTGATTCCAAGAGCTTATTACTCTAAAAAAAACATTTGCTACAAAAGATTTCTGGATTATAGAAAAACTAAATATTCTCTATCAAATCCATTTATTTGACAGGGGTGACCACCGTTCTTACCATGACCACACTAATGATGGGTGCCAGGACCTCGCTTCCCAATGCCAACTGCTTCATTAAGGCTATCGACGTCTATCTCGGCATCTGTTTCACCTTCATCTTTGGTGCTCTGCTGGAATATGCCTGTGCTCATTTCTGCACCATGCAGCACCAAACCATTGTAGATGTGCAAAGGGTGAGAAACCTCTGGATAGAGGCTAAAATGACACATTTTTACAACCTGTTGTATTTTAACATTTTTACATGAAATTTTCACAGGAACTGCTCAAAGAATTTGAGGAGTCAAATGGTATGACTCACTTGGCAAATTCAACGTCACCCAAAAAGATGCAGACTGAAGAATCCACTCAGCAGGAGACGCCTGAACAATCTGTGACATGCGAAGGGAATGAGGCCACAGACAAGAAGAAAGAGAAGGGGTGCGGTTTGTCCTCCGTAAAGCAAATGTCTCGCCGAGCAGCATCCATGATGAGTGTCGAGAATCCTAACAACATCGACAGACATGCACGTGTATTTTTCCCCATGGTATTTCTCCTTGTCAATATTTTCTACTGGTTCTACTACCTTTTATTCTAATGGATAAACCACTCTTAATGAACAAAGTATTGCACAAATGACTGTAAAAGTGAAAAGTGTTGACTCCCTATCAATTACAGTTAAATAGTGGCCTATAACAAGGACCTGGACTTGGTTCATTGTTGCACTGAAGAAAGTAGGCCTATTTCTACACAACAATGAAAGTGAAGATCACATGGACACACATAAATCACCATACAGACTCATCTGTAGCAGGACACAAAAAAGGATGCTGTTCTACGAGTCCACTCTTTGATTTAGCCTATTTAAGGGTTCAAAGCTTTACTTGTTTTTTCTTCTTGCTTTGTTTTGCTAGTTAAACGTAATGCGCTGTAAGGCTGATGTAAAATCCATAAGCACTGACCATAATAAATGGCACTAAGTAAAACCAATAATGGTCAGTGTATGCATGTCATTATGTACAGTGCGGTACGCAAGTCTGAGTCAGGGGTGTAATTCAAACCTGTAAATACATAAAAAAAATTGTAAAAAAAATTTGAGAAATGTTTAAGATTATGCAATATTTCTAGGTGCCCAATAAATTAATTTCGGAACTCCGATGGTTCACCACTAGGGGGTGTTGATCTCAAAGTGAACCCATGATGAACCACTTCTGGTTGCCCAGTTAATCATGTGACATCAAATCCCACGAAATTTTACTATAAAAAAATTAAGAATTCAGGGCCAGATGTTGTGGGTTAAACAAAGGATAACTTCCCTTTAACACAGATGGCTATATAGTTTAAAAAATGTGTAAAAACATTCAGTACTTTCAACCTACAAATCACATCATACCTTAAAAATAACAAAATGATCTTACGATAGAATTAAATCCACCCCCTTCTCCTGACTGATAACACTACTCTTGCCTGCTGCTTTTTATAGACAGCTCTAATGAAAACACTTAATTAAATTAATTACATAAATTAATGAATTCATTAAATAATTAATTTAGTTCATTGTGTTAAGGGTTTGATTATACTTAAAACACATAACAAGCACTGCTATTTAATAGTATTTAAGTGTTTATCATTTATTTTAAAAAATATTTCTAAAAAAAAACATTTCGGTTTGTTTAGTAAGTTTGGTCTGAGTTCTTGATGCTTTTACAACGTTTTCACCAGCAGGTGTCGCCAGCATGTGCTGTTTATGGAGACAGATCAGCCTCAAAAATAACTCATTTGCAAAACAAATCCCGATCATGGAACATTGCACAGTACAAGCACAGCCTTGAGCTTCTTGAGTCTGTTCAGTAAAGAGTGTTTTGTTTGGTGGATTAAAAGCTCACCGCGATTGACTGAACGGAACATCCTCCAAAAAAAGACATTTATGAATCTTAACCTGCCAGGAAGGTCTCAAAAATACCACACACAAATTCAAAGCATGCACATGTGACCATTTGCAAATGCAGATTCAACGATCCATAAATACATGTAACATCATTCATAAATGTGTGATGGAAATTAATTCAAGAAATGTATATATACATATTTGTGTAAACATTTTAAATTCATTTAGGTAAGATGCATTTGTGTGAGCATTTGGGGAAATATTTATGCTTTTACTTGTGTATTTGTGAATTGTGTTTTGAATTTACGAATCGGATTTTGTAAATGTAAATTGTGCTGTGCATTTATGAATTTTGTTTTGCAAATGTGTTATTTTTGAGGCTGATCTGTCTCCATAGCTGTTTCAAGTGCTTCGAAACATCGAATCATTTTTCGAAGCAATTGGTTCAATGCTTCGAAAAGCTTCGTTTCTCCCATCACTAGCTTTACTCACTCTGGCCATAAGCTGGCACTGTCGCTGTAACCCAATGAACGAAGAAGAGCATCGCCTGGTCAACGAGGAAAAGCCATCAGCCAATCAGGAAGCAGGTTGCTTTTTAAAACTCAGCCGGGACACGCGGAACCAAAACAAACGGCATTTTGCTTGTGTAGAAAAGGAAAGACTAAACACAGAGAAACGGTAAGTTTTAACTAAAAAAAAAGAAGAAAAAACGAAGTTTAAGTTAAACTGTATATAGTGATTAAAGTCAGGTGATATTCTGCGGGTCACTTTTTTATTTAACGTAAAATTGGCAAACGGACTTGACCAAGCTGAACGAGTCGCTAAGTTACAAATCATGAATGGCATTATTTGAACCAAACAAGCTGCATTTCATTGTCTTGCTTTTCACCCTGTCGATAGATACAAAGATACAAAAATGGACACCATGATTTACTTGGATCAGGAGAACGGCAGACTGACCACTCCAGCCATCAAATCTCGCCAGAACAGACTGCACTCTGCTCCAGGTCAGTGCCAATATAGGCTTCGTCTCCTAACCAAAAAGAGACTACTCACCAAGTCCCTAATTTACGTCTGTCACATTTTCAGATCAGTGCTTGAGAACACCTCTGGCAGCAGGAAAGGCACGTCCTGGAGCTCCTCTGCAATCGGGCCGAAAAGCTTTGGGAGTCATAAATAAGGTTGTTGCTACCCAAGCAGCATCTCATAAAGCAGAGGAGAAGACTAAACCTGCTGAAGCCAAGGTTCGTTCTGGACGGCGGTGAAGTTAGTTTGACATTCATTAGACATTCGGGTTTTTTGCCAATTAAACTCTTTAAAGGCTTTTATGTTTTGAGCCCAAACTAGCTCAGATAGACATAAATATATGCCCTTCATGTTGCACAAGGCTTAATTTCTAGGAATTAAAAAAGAATAATTAACCATTTAAATTAATTAAACAATTTAACTACGTGACATTTTAATATAAAACCAATGCTAAAATGTTCGGAAAAACAACTGTTATCGCACGAAGCTCCGTTTTTGGAATTACAATTTTGTTTTTTTTATAATAATTGTACAATTTTTAATGTATGCAATAATATAAATCCATTAAACGACAACACCATTTGATCTAAAGGTATGAAACCCAACTGTAAAATATTCAGAATAATATTCCCTATAATGCACAAGTCTTGTTTTTTTCAGTTTATGCCTTTACTGTTTTTATATATAGCACTGAAACCATATTTTTCATATGTTTTACATACTGTATCCACTTAAATTAATTAAACTCTGACACAGTTTGAGATAAATGTATCAAACAACTGTAAAATATTTAGAATATTATTCCCTATAATGCACAAGGCTTGTTTTTTCAGATTATGCCTTTACAGTTTTTATATACAGTACTGAATCTCTATATTTTTTTAGGTTTTATATACTGTACCCCCCTAAATGAATTAAACTCTGACACCGTTTCAGATAAAGCTATCAAATCAACTGTAAAATATTCAGAATATTATTCCCCATAATGCACAGGGCTAATTTATCTATTGAAAGCATATGAAAAGTAGAGATGCAAAAGCCTTTAAGCTCCATCTGAAATGTTCTTCTAAAATGAGCATTTGTATCAGCTCCCATGTTTAGGTAAAGCACTTTCACTTTAATGGCAATCAATGTTATTTTCTTTGTGAAATGGCTGAATAAAAATGTATAATCTCAGGGAAAAAAAGGTACAACAAGGTTTTTTTTGTTTTCACATTAACTTGTGCATATTAGTCAAAAAAAAATTGAACAAACATATATAAAAAAAAACCTCCTCTCCATCTCTCGCTCATAGCAGACTAATGGTTGGATGTTTTTTTTTTATTTTTATTTTTATAGTTCCATCACATAAACATATAAGGCACTGTCATACAGTTTAAAGCATGTAAAACAGAAAAAATAAAAAATTGAACAAACATATATATATATAAAAAAATATATTAACAATAAAAATACCTGTATAAAAAGCTCTATATAACATTACGGCAGTTACATAAATATGAAAAGCTTTAGAATTTGTATTGTTTTTATAAGCTTCTTATTTTGTGATGTCATATTAGAAAGAGTTTCAAAATATATTTTAAGACCAGTGTTACAAAAGGTAATATGATGGTTTATTTGTATAATTTTTTTTACTTGTATATAAAGCTTTGATAAGATAATTAACAGAATAATAATTTTGTTTATCAGAAAAATTATGGGTTTTAAAAACCAAATATCATGAAGTTGTAAATTGAGGGCTTTGTTTATTTATATGGTGATATCCAAATGCTATGCCATGGCATACAAAGAGGTTTAAGTCATATTGATCAAATATGTATTCAGTACTGTATATAAAAACAAAGGCATAATCTGAAAAACTAAGCCTTGTGCATTAAAGTGAATAATATTTAGAGATTTGTATAGTTGTTTTGATACCTTTATCTCAAACTGTGTCAGAGTTTAATTAATTTAAGTGGATACAGTATATAAAGCATATGAAAAATATGGTTTCAGTGCTATGTATAAAAACAGTAAAGGCATAATCTGAGAAACCAAGCTTTGTGCATTGTAGGGAATAATATTCTGAATATTTTACAGTTGGTTTGATACCTTTTTATCTCAAACTGTGTCAGAGTTTAATTAATTTAAGTGGATACAGTATATAAAGCATATGAAAAATATGGTTTCAGTGCTATGTATAAAAACAGTAAAGGCATAATCTGAGAAACCAAGCTTTGTGCATTGTAGGGAATAATATTCTGAATATTTTACAGTTGGTTTGATACCTTTTTATCTCAAACTGTGTCAGAGTTTAATTCATTTAAGTGGGTACAGTATATAAAGCATGACAAATATGGTTTCAGTACTATATATAAAAACAATAAAGGCATAATCAGGAAAACCAAGACTTGTGCATTATAGGGAATATTATTCTGAATATTTTACAGTTGGTTTCATACCTTTAGATCAAATGGTATTGTCATTTAATGGATTTATATTATTGCATACATTAAAAATTGTAAAATTATTATAAAAAACATAAAATTGTAATTCCAAAAACAGAGCGTTGTGCGATAACAGTTATGTTTTTCCGAACATTTTAGCATTGGTTTTATATTATGTCGTCACGTAGTTAAATGGTTAATTATTATTTTTTTAATTCCTAGAAATTAAGCCTTGTGCAACATAGAGGGCATATATTTATGTCTATCGGAGTTAGTTTGGTCTCAAAACATAAAAGCCGCAAAGAGTTTATGTCACAAAAAAAACGAATGTCTAATGAATGTCAAACGTCAAACTAACTTAACCGCCGTTTGTTCTTGATATGCAGAGAAAACCGTATGAAAGTTGTTTGTAGGTTGATTAAATCGATTTTATTCCATCAGTGTAAGGTTCCTGCTCAGCCAGCTAGTGAGGAGTTGCCAGAGATCGAGAAGTGTTACCCATACAATCCAAGCGGTAAGACTGACCTGCTGTTTTATGGCTTTTAAGCTAAACTTTTGACTTCAGCTCTTGACAATTCTGTCCCATGTTAAATTTGTAGAGTTTGAGACCTGCGGTGTTCCAGATGAAGTCTACCTCAGTTGTTTCTCTCTGACTGGTCTGGGAAAACAGATGTGGCCAAATACGTTACC